TCAGGTGGTTGTCCGGCAAAAGTCTGGGAGTCGGATGGTGGTTTGGTGGAAGTCCGGGCCTTAGGTGGTGGCCTGATGGAGCACAGGGTCTCAAGTGGTGTCCTGGTGGAGCACAGGGCCTCAAGTGGTGGTCCGGCGGAGCAACGACGTCATGCGGTAGTTCGACGGAGGTGAGGGCCTCAAGTGGTGGTCCGGTAGAAGTCCGGGGCGTCAGATGGTGGTCCGTTAGAGCAACGACGTCAGACGGTGGTCCGACGGAGGAGAGGGCCTCAGGTGGTGGCCCAGAGGAGCTCAGGTGCTTAGGTGGTGGTCCGGCAGAGCAACAACGTCAGACGGTGGTCCGGCGGATGTGAGGGCTTCAAGTGGTGGTCCGGCGGTGGAGCTCAGGGCCTTAGGTGGTGGTCGACGGAGCAACGACGTCTGGCGGTGGTCCGGTGGAGGTGAGGGCTTCAAGTGGTGGTCCGACGTAAGTCCGGCGGTTATCGAGGAGGAGCTTCTTCCTTCTCTTCTTTCTTCTTATCTTCTTACTTCGGTCCCCTTTCAAGAGAAATGAGGGGTTTATTTATAGATTTCTGGAGTGGCATGACCCATAAATAGTTAAGAGATCAAGGGTAAATGGGGAGTGGTTGGATGGACGGGCGATGTTGAATCCCTTGATCATGGACAGTTTGTCAGTCATTTGAACATCTTAATGATGTCAGAATTCGGCGATCTTGCGCTCGTTGGATTCGTCTCGTTAAGCCGCTCTATTTGACTATAAGCACTTCATGTTTGGAAACCGTTTGATAATCCAATTTGTTGTTCGAACCTTCCAACAATGATTCAGATCATTGATTTGGACTCATTTGGGCTCGGATTGAGTTGAATTTGGTGTCATTGAGTTCGTATTTCCGAGACGTTCAGTTCGACTATAAGTTTACGAAAATCAGAGTTTGGGCGGTCCCAATTTTAATTTTGTAATTTTCTAATTTGATTTTGCTTTGAGATTCGTGCCCGATCAAGATAATTTTTTGAGGAGTATCAATTATTAATATTGATTTGGGCATTTGGCATTAAGATTTTTTTTTTGAATAAATTTTTTTAAAAATAATTTTCTAATTTTATACTAAAAACTATTTTAAGAAGTAGTAAGAAAGTTGTTACAAACGAAATCTAAATAATTTTAAAGTTGAATTTAGGTGTATTGAACATTTTGAGTGATGTCGTAGCCACTAATCACCATTGCCACCGCATGCTCTCGGCTGAAAGCATGGGCGGATTCCCATTGAGTTGATTTGCCCCCCTCAAAATTTTTTTTTTTAAATTTTAGAGGGATATTTTGGAATATTTTGAGTATTTTGCCCCCTCTCAAAAAAATTTTTTACCCTCATTTAATCAATCATAAGCATCTTTGCCCATCCCCCACAAAAAAAAAATTTTTTTGTCCACCCTGAAAAAAGAAGCTGGATCCGCCTCTGGCTGAAGAAAAGCCAACACTGCCCTCTGTTATAGCCCATTGTTGTCCACCAAAATTTACATCCCTTACTTTCAACTATCTTTGATCAACTATTACTTCAAAAATGTTATCATTTTATTTTGCATTTTCTTAATTCAAATTAAATAAAAATATAAAATTTTACATTTGTAATATATTTAATCAAACAACTTAAAAATATTTTCAATACATTATCTTTATTTTCCTATATTATTTTTTCATCAAAACAAATAGTCTCTATGCACAAGATATTTTCGCATCCTCAAAGAAGAACACCCCAAAAAAGATATTTCTAGTCTCTCCCTATATTTTCAAATATTAAAGTTAAGTATTTTTAATTTTAAACTCATCGGTAATAAGATGGATTAAAATTCACCATATACGTTAAATCAGCAGCGCAAACTTCCATGCCGACCAGCATCAAAATTTGACTAAAAAAATGCTTCATTGCAAAGTTCCCAATGATTTAATGAAAAAAATGTGCTCTGCGAGGTCAAATTCAATATATTGTGTTGAACAATTTGTTCCAATTTCCTTTACACGTATTTTCATTCTCGATGGTTTATTGAAGGCCTTTATAATTTGTTAAAAAAAAAATCTAAGTTTTTTTTTAACCTCAAGATTCATGGGATAAGATTTATCACACATTAGAAGCTAGGGACAAGGGCATTCCCCACCAAATTGTTCCACCATTATGATTAGCAAGAGATAGAGATAGAGAGCGATAGAGAGAGAGAGAGAATTCAATTTCAAATTTTTTAAAAAATAAAGGATCTAATTAATCAGTTGATTTATTGAATGCATAATTTAATGATGACTAGTAAGCATGGTGCAAGCCAAACATTCACAATAATAGAGAAGTAGAGAATTTAACAATCTATTTTTGTATGAAGATCAAAGACACAGTTAGATAAGAGAGAAAGGGATGCAAGAACCATAAGAGACATTATAATTTTATGTTGAAAATATTGAAAAGGGTAAAAACTACGGAGCCTTGCATAGTTGAAATAATTCTACTTGTGTTTGTCGTTGATTACAAATGACACCATTCCTTAGGGGAAGGTGTTGGCACAATGTAATAAATATACTCATACATAGCACATTATATGATTGGAGTTGGAAGAATTCAATGATATGAGATATGTTCTCAAGAGAGTGTTTTCTTATTCATTTGGTCAATAGTACCGTGTTCGGTTGGCAATAGAGGTTGGAAGGATAATAGGTAGGGACAAAGGTTGGAAGGATTGTAGTCAGCGAGCGATAGAAGTCGGAAGGACTGTAGTTGGGCGACAAGGGTCTGAGTGGCCACAGTTGGGTGACTTAGGTCAAATAAACCGTAGTGAAGTAATGTTGGTCTGAGGGCTATAGTCGAGCAATGGTGGTCCAAGTATTATAGTTGGACGACGATAGTAAAAGAGATTGTATTCGAGCAATGGTGCCATAAAGATCATAGTTAGAGGGTAACGAAGGTTGGAGGGATAATAATTGGCGAGTGAGAGAGGTTTGAGTAGGGGTGTCAATATTTGACACGACCCAAAAATCCGACTCGAACCCCACCCAAAAATTTCAAGTTAGGGTCAATGTGCTTGAGAAACGGGTTGGGTTTGGGTTCGGGATTCCGACCCGTTTGTAAAATTGGGTCGGGTTCAAGTTGACCCGAAAACCCAAAACCAACTTGGGTTGACCCGTGACCGTGTATGGTCGAGTCGTCTCGTCGGCGTCGTCCAGTGACCGCATCTAGTCGGCGTCGTCCCATGGCCGCTAGACTCGCACTATCAGCTATCGCTATACCACATGTTAGCAGCTAGCTTCGCTGCTGATGTCTAGTCGAGTTGTCAATGACCCGACGTCGTCCTTTATGTGTGTCGCCAGACCCGTTTTGATGTCATTCAGCCATGTAGTGAATGTGAATCCTAACCCGCGCAGGTCGAATCAGGTCAACCCGATAAGACAAACTCTTTATACTCTCTCCCCTGACTATGTAACTTTTTTTTTGAACATTTAGGCCAATTAAGACAAACTCACACACACATCACATATGCAAGACTCGAATCCAATACCTCTTGATTGGTAGCCAAAGCTCCCAACCAACAGACCAAATTTAGTTGCGTTGAAATTTATAATCTTTTGTGTGAAATAAAAAAAGAATTATTTTCTTAGAATCTAGACCAACAACATTTATTAGAAGTAGGAAAAATAGTTAAAATATTCACTCTTCTAAAAAAATTTCAAAATGAGCAATTGTTCACCATGAGCTCTTTCTACTCTCTCTCTCTTTAATATGAAACATTTTTTTTTTTTTAGACATTTAAGTCAATTAAGATAAATTCACACACATTACATACGAAAAATTCGAACCTAAAAACTTTTTGTTTATAAATAAAACTCTCAACTAAGAAATGAATATGAGCTGCATAAGAAAATGCAGGCCACATAAATTACGGAGATATAGGTACCAAGAGATAGAATAATCGCTTTTATGCACAAATGACCAATTTCCGGCTCATCTTTAATGCTTGTATTGATGCGCCAAATCATCAACAAGCTGCTCAAGAGCAGGTCACGTGATGTTCGCTTTATCGTCAGCAAACCCCAACTTCCATCGTCCACTCAACTAACAGATAACAAACACAAATTAGGGCTAATTATTCTTTTTTTTTTTAAATATTGAATGAGGAAATAAAAAATTAATATATTTTGTTGGAAAGATTTTAAGTGTATTATATTCAAAATATAGCAATTTTAAACATTTGATAAGATGAAAAATAAATTTAAAGTATTTTTAGGAGGAATTTAAAATACACAATTTAGTTTATTTTAAAATTATATGATTAGACTGAATTTATTGTAATTGTTTTATTTAAAAAAATTTATTAGTTCAACTAAATGCAAAAAATAATCACCTCAAATTTAAATATAATATATTCAATGTATACCATATTTTGAATATTTTATTATGAATGTCTAATAATTTAATTATATTGTGTAATAACTGAATTATATTATTTAATATTTTAAATATATATTTAATAATTTAATTTATTTAAAGCTGACAAGCTGTGCGAAATTGTGGATATGTTTGAAAAAGATTAGTCCATTCAAATATTTTTTTTTTAATACTTACAACCAATGGCCCCATAGACAAAATTAAATCCAAAATTTTTGACAATACTTTTAAATTTTTTTATAAAGTAAAATAGCTGCCACCAACAATTATTTTCTTTCCCACATCTTCGGCCCCTCCTATTTTTTATCGCGAAACAACATGCACCGCAATTAACAGATAACAACGACCCAATCCCATGGAACCATGCCACGTGTGGAACATCCACATGTCAGCCTGTCATTAAAAACTTTTTTTGTTGCCTTTATTTATCCATTAAATAATATTAGAATTTTTCAAGCAAGCTGAGAACATCCGGTGGGAAAAGGCTATCCATATTGCTCTTCCTTCCACGCCAACAAGGCCCACTCATCCATTGTCTCTTTTCTATCCTCTTTTATCTTATAAATAAAACCCCCAACCTTGCTTCCCTTCGGCATCATACCTTCTTCATTCTTCTTCTCCTTTCTCTTCGAAAAAGTCTATAAAGAAAAATTAGAGCACCAGATATGGCTTTAACTTTCCGTTCTCCTACCTCCTTTCTATCCGGCGTCGACTCCGGCAAACCCCACAAGGCAGTCGATACTGATCTCCCGCCGATCTCGGTGGCCCTTGGATCGACCCGAGCGGGTCGGCGAGTTCGGGCTAAGGTTATCTCCGCTGAGGCGGTGGCGCCGGTGGAGCCGAGGACGGCGGAGAGGTTCCACAGGAACGGCGGGCCGTGTTCTGGCGCGCGTGGACCGGGTTGCGATAGGCGGGTTCCGGTTTATGTGATGCTGCCGTTGGATACGGTGGGGATGTGCGGCGGGCTGGCAAGGGCGCGGGCTTTGGGGGCGAGTATGATGGCGTTGAGGAGCGCCGGGGTGGAGGGGGTGATGGTGGATGTGTGGTGGGGGGTGGTGGAGCGGGCCGGGCCGGGAAGGTATGATTGGGAGGCGTATGGGGAGCTGGTGAGGATGGCAGAGAGGCATGGGCTTAAGTTGCAGATGGTCATGTCTTTCCATCAGTGCGGTGGGAATGTTGGAGACTCCTGCAAGTATGTATTTGAATTTCTTTTTCTCTCTCTCTCCTTCCCTCTCGTTCTGTCTCTGTGTCTCTCTTGAGCTCTTTATTGAGATTTATGTTCTTTCCAGAAACTAAAGCTTTTGGATAAAATTAGAAGGAAAAAAAAAACTAATTAGGTCAATTTTGATAGATAATTCTGAAGTTTTTGCTATATTTGGGGCTTGTCATAGTCAAAGATACGTAATGTTTCAGTGCCTGCATTATTTGCACCTTAGGCATGTGTATTGTTCGTTGCCGCATCTATACTTGGAAGGAATTTCCTTCTTTTTTTGTCCTTTTAATTTAATTGAATGAATGAAATTGCAATTAAGGCTCAATCGGTTGCGTGGTTATGAAAGGATGCTTTGAATTCAATGTTGATTCTTTATTACGTATAGATCTAACTTTATGGTTTTCAGAACATATTTTCTTACTTCAAGCAACCCCCTTTCTACGAAAGGTATGATCCTTTGTTTAAGAGGAAATTTTTTATCCAACGTAATCTAAATCAACTTCATGGAAGTCACAGCGGTAGATCTGTCCTGCTTTAACTACACAGTTTTGTCTCGCAAAATCAACTATTTTAGCTAGAGAAAATTGTAAGACAAATTGGCAAAACATAATAGCTTGCCTTGTAAAAATTGACCGATATGACTACTATAATACGAAATTGTTTCAAGACCGAAGGATTACAAGTGTATCCTTATTGAAAACTGACTAAAGGTATTATGAGCCAAATCTTTTCATAAGATGCTCAGCCAGTCCACTTCTAATTTCCTAGGCATCTGAGGACTCTGATTGCTACTGCTTACTCAGCCAGTCCACTTCTAATTTCTAATACAATTAGCTTACAAAAAGAACTAGTGTGGTGGTTGTTCATATGGATCTGAATAAAGGTACATATGAACTTTAACCACATGCCCTTACTTCCCTCGGTTATAGAGGAAATGAACCAAGCCTTACACCACCTGATGAGATCACAGGAATCCATTAAACAAAGCCTTTTCTCACTGGATAAAATTTGTGAACATGGATCTCGCTGTGAAAAGAGCTATGATAAGCAATTCTTTACAGAAATTAGAGAAAACAAACAAGTATTACCATGGTTTTGTTGATACTACTGCTAATGAAAATTGGCGGGATTAAGAGATGTCTATATGTAGGTTATATGTCAGTTTTTTTAGTTATTTTGTTTATGGTATGCGGAAGCGAGGAGATGACAGGAACTAGAAAAATGGGAAATATAATTTCTAACATTAGGATGAAATTAGAGAAATCAACCAAGAAAATTGAGTTCATTTCAGTTCTCATAGATTGTTCTGGACATGTTATTTTTCAGAGCCTATTTTACAAAGTCTTACATGGGGTCCTAGTTGTGTACCAATTGGGTACCCATGCTCTGTGCGGGCTGATTTCGCCCACCCATGATGACTTTTGGGATGTCATACCCGCCCATACCCAACCTCTTTCCATGTTTTTTTTACTCAGTCCACCACAGACTGATGTCCTTCAGGCTTTTTGTTGTTTGCTTTGACTAGAAACTTTCAAGCCGCATATTAGAATTTATCATGATCGCAGCACAATTAAGTACTACCCACTGCATAATGAGGACTACGGTAATATACGACATACATTGTAAATCGATTTATTCCCGATGTTGAGTGCCCATCCATAGTCACCCATGAGGCCATAGGCATGCCTATACCCACCCATACCCATTGGTTATGGGTGGGTGTGGGTATGAGTATCCAATGAAGGGCTCTGCTGTTTTGGTTAAAACGTAAGAAATGTCAAAATACTTGCATGTCCCACATGCATGACATATTTTATTGGGGAGTCTTTTCTTAGCTACCGCTGTAAATTCCTAGGAATTTTTTATTAGCTATTTTTATTCTAATATTGAAAGATTGAAATTGCAGTCACGAGGTATGAACCTTGGTTAAAGGTGAAAAATCGGCTGGTCATATATTAAGTTTTTTATAGTCACAACCCCCATTCTTCTGTCTTGCTTTTAAGGACTACTTTTTCTTACAAAAAAGTAACTGTTTTAGCTATTATAAGGCACAAATTGGCACAGAAGATCTATTGTCTTATAAAAATTAAGTGATTTGGTTATCATAATACAAAATTTATTGTTTTAAAGATAGAATGATGAGGGTTTATCCTCATCGAGATGAGATTTGACTTAAGCTATTCTGAATCAATATTTTTCCTGGTTAAAGGCTATAAATGCTTGGTACATCTGAGGAGTTCTCTATACCACACACATAACCACTACCCTACTATTACCATTCATAGTACATAAATAGTTTGTTCCTTGTGAACATGAACTCATTGATTTCATTCATCAAAACTGAAGCTAATTTTATATGAACATTCACTACAGCGTCCCCTTGCCTCCCTGGGTTATAGAAGAGATGAACCAAAATCCGGATATCATGTACACCGACCAGTCAGGCCGCAGGAACCCAGAGTACATTTCCCTTGGCTGTGACACACTACCTGTGCTCCGTGGCAGAACACCAATCCAGGTCTACTCAGAGTACATGCAGAGTTTCAGAGACAAGTTCAAGGATTACCTTGGCAATGTTATCGATGTAAGAAAATTTCCATTTCCTCAATCTCAACACAATCATTCCTTCTTGGCCATTAATTATTAAAAAAAAATTGAACCTTTGTCAGGAAATTCAAGTGGGGATGGGCCCTTGTGGTGAGCTCAGATACCCTTCCTATCCTGAGAGCAATGGCATATGGAAGTACCCTGGCATTGGAGAATTCCAGTGTTATGATAAGGTATATGTTCTCAACCACACACAAAACTCTATGCCTTGTATCTGGAAGATTGAAATATTACAATTTGTCAACAAATGTGTAACTCTATGCCTTGTATGTAGCAGTACATGATGGCTTCTCTGAAAGCCGCTGCCGCTGCTGCTGGACACGAAGAATGGGGGAGAAGTGGCCCTCATGATACTGGACACTATAAGCAGTTCCCTGAGGAAACTGGCTTCTTTCGGCGAGAAGGTACATGGAATACTGAATATGGCAATTTCTTCCTGGAATGGTACTCCAACAAGCTGCTGGAGCATGGAGATGACATCCTTGCTGCTGCAGAGGGGATCTTCCGAGGCTCCGGTGCTAAATTATCAGCTAAGGTTGCCGGCATTCACTGGCATTTTAAGACCCGCTCGCATGCCGCAGAGCTTACTGCTGGTTACTACAACACACGACATCACGATGGCTATCTCCCCATTGCAAGAATGCTGGCAAAGAGAGGTGCAGTGATGAACTTCACTTGTATGGAGATGAGAGATGACCAGCAGCCCGGGCACGCAAATTGCTCCCCGGAGTTGCTGGTTCGACAGGTGAAGGAGGCGGCGAAGGAAGCATCAGCAGAGCTTGCGGGTGAGAATGCGCTTGAGAGGTACGATGAGGCGGCGTTCTCTCAGGTGCTGGCGACCAGCGGGGCTGATGAGGGGATTGGATTAAGCGCATTCACCTACTTGCGGATGAACAAGAAACTCTTTGAAGGGGAGAATTGGCGCCATTTTGTAGCATTTGTGAAAGGCATGACAGAAGGTGGACGGAGTGTCTCACTCCCAAGGAGCGATTGGGGGCACTCTGATCTTTATGTTGGATCCGTTATTGGTGATAGGAAGAACAAGGATAAATTTGTTGCGGCATTGTAAGTGTATGTTTTGTACTTCTACGTATATATCAACATAGAATTGTAAGGTGTTAGGTGTAATAGCAGAAATTAAAAAAAAGAGAGGAAATATGTCTAATAAAGAGATTATGTCATGTATAATATAAGAGTGCTATTAAAGTGTTTCTTTAAGATACAGATTTGAACAATATATTTTTACAAGAAAAGCTTCAGAAACATTTTCTTAGTAACAGACATAAATTTACACTGGGACTAGTTATTTTTGAACTTCCATGTGAAATTTTCGCCTTTTTTATGTACAATCTAGCACCTTCTATTTGTTTGGAAGAACTCAACTCGAGGTCACTAGAGATGAAAACCCCATCATCTGGAGGGTGATATTTGCCGGTATGGTTGACAGCTGGTGGAGGCTTCGAACCCGTTGTCAGCCTAGCTTCATACATGGTTTTCCCTAAGCATTCTAAACCCCGATCAACGTCAAGGGTTGATGTAGCAGCAACTCAGTGCCTTGATCGACATCAAGGGCCAAATTTGGATCTGATACCATTCTGACGTAGGGAGATCATTCGAGGAAGCATTTCAAATAAAGTTCCTCAGAGCTAGAATACCAAAACAGTGAAAACACTGCTAAATCCTCAAAAATATATTCATTCTCCATTTCTTCTTTCAACTGATATATTTATAAGCTACTAAGGAAAAGTCTAGAGAAACCTAAAGAAATCAAGAATATTCTAGAATCCTATAACAAATTAATTAACATATGCCTAAGGAACAATTTAACTAAGATGTTCTGCATCACTTCTCAATACATCGATAAATATCCTTCCGTAAATTTTGGCCAATAAAAACCAGATTGTGGTAGAGCTGACATTTTCTCTATTCTAGCATGATCAACTAAGCCTAATATGTTTAAATATCAAATCAATTGAATGCAGAGTGAGGATTTGAGAATGTAAAATTGATTTTCTCTTGAAAAGGAACCACAGTGAATTGAGTAGTCTGCCCGACGAGTGTGTGTTGAGCATTGTTCTCAAATTTGGCCAAAGTCTTTACTCTCTGTTAAGTGTTTTGCCATAACATATCTAATTGATAATATCTACTCAAACAAGCAAGAGAAGACTAGCTCAATGGCTTAAGGCGTTGGCGATTTGGTTGCTAATCTTGACTTTGTGCGTGATATGAAACTAGGGGTGCAAACGAGTCGAGTCAAGTTCGAGTTAGGGGGTGTTCAAGTCGAGCTCTAATATCAAATACCAAGCTCGAGCTTGAACTCATGAGCTAGCAAGCCGAGCCTCATCAAGCTCGAACTCGAGCTCGCGGCTCGATAAGCTTGGCTCGCGAGCTCATAAACAAGTAGAGCTCGAGCCGGCTCGCGACCGGCTCAGCTCACTTACACCCCTATGAAACTCAATTTTTGGAGGAACAATGCCCACTATTTGTGCCTTCGGTTAAGATGTTTTTGTGAATTCCAGATATGGTGGGATTGATGAACACTAAATAAAATACATTCTTAGCAAAGAAAGCAATGTTCCCACTATTTGAGGTAATGGCGCATAGCTAATGTTCAAATGAGGTAATGACGCATAGCTCATGTTCATATGTAGATCAACATTAACGAGTAAAGCTTAACTTCTCACTAAAAATTCAATTGAACATCCCTTTTGAAACAAGACTATGCCGATTCCAATGGAGGTGTCTAACTCTGTTTACAAAGATATAATATTGACCATGGTTAATATTGGAGCGGAGCTGATTCTATTTAATTGAAGGTTGTTGGGGAAGATGAGCAGTGAACATCACAATAATGAAATAAACAAGAAAGTAAAAACAGCGGAAAAGTAAAGGGCATCTGGATTTAATGTAGAAAAATTTAAAATAGGGAAAAAAATCACGGAGAACACTTCACACAAAGAAACCCACTATAAAAATTGGGAGAAATAAGTGCATATATATTTATTCTCTCACTCTCTCATTGCTTCTCTTCGCACATGCACATTTCCCACTCTTGCGCTAACTAAAAAATTCAAGAAAAAGCCAAGTAAAATAACTCCAAGGGACACAACCCTTTAGAAAACAAAATAGAAAACCGTTCAGTCAGTCTTGCGGCACTGTAGCGCTAGTTTGAAGTGTTGCAGCGCTCAAGCCTCTGTCTTGAACCACTGTGGGATCATATCTAGGCTGCTGTGTTGCTCTGCTCTCTATTGTTAAGCACTGGGGAGCTTGGGAACAAAGCGACGGGGAGCTTGGGTACGCAATGCCGAGATTCTCGATTACGCAGCGCCGGGGAGCTTGGGTACGAAATGTCAGGGTATTTTATAGAAAAAAATTTCAGGCACAAAGCACCTGAAACCAAGCATAGGGTAAACCCCTCGCACCCCCTTTATACAATACAAGCTTTAAGGTCCGAGACAACAGAATAACCAGTTGATCAACATAATCAAATTGCATACATAACAATCTCCCACTTGAAATTGATTGCAATCGATCCTTCTCCTAATTTGTAACACCAATCATAGTACTTGTAGTGTGGCTCACCTCTACTCTCATCCACCATTAAGTTCAACTAAAGCAACACATATCTTCAATTTATCAACTGTCACCATCTTCGTCAATATGTCTGCAAGATTCTCGATCGTGTGTATCTTCTCCAAAGATAATTGACCATCTTTCAGAAGTGACATGATGAAATGATACCGAAGCTAGATGTGCTTTGTCCTGTCATGGAATCCAACATTCTTGCCTAGATGTATAGAACTCATAATGTCACAATGTAGCTTTTCATTCCTTTGCCCCTTGCCAAGTTCTGTCAAGAAACTTTGCAACCAAATCATCTTCTTGCTAGCCTCAGTGATAGCAATGTACTCAACTTTTGTGGTTGAAAGCGCAACAATCTTCTGTAACTTGAAAACCCAATTGACTGCAGTCTTTTCCAAAGTGAAGATATAATCTATTATGCTTCTCCTGCCATGAAGATCTCCAGCAAGATCAAAATCTACATAGCCTTGTAGATCAACCTCTGCACCACCAAAGCAAAGAGTTTTATCAACTGATCCTCTCAAGTATTTGAGAATCCACTTAACTGCCTCCCAATGAAGTTTGCCTGCGTTACTCATTGTTGCGTCCTGGAATATTCGCGGCGGCAGAGAAATGTAAGGTTTAACGTCTTAGCTTTGTACGAAGATCCAACACAAAATTAGATAAAAAATATGGTGTATCATTCATAAGAGACACCAGACTTTTTTATTTGGAAAACCCCTAAAAGGGGGGAAAACACGAGTCTGGCCCAGTTTGAATGAATCCACTAGTGTTTCCAATCAATTACAAATGAGACATTTCCTTGGTGGGAAGGCATTGGTTTGATGTGGCAAATATATATCATACAGAGTGCATTACATGTTGGAAATTGAAAAAATCAAAATTGATTTGTTCGTTTGGTCGGTAGGACCATAGTCGGCTGGCGACGACGCCCGCGATGGCAGTGACGAAGTTTAGAAAGATCGTAGTCGGGCGACAGTGGTTGGAAGGACTATATTTGACTGGTGATGAAGGTCAGAAAGACCTTTGTTTGGCAACAGAGGTCGAACGGACCGTAGTCGGTAGGCGATGAAGGTCAGAAAAAGCATTTTCAAGTGATGGAGGTCGGAATGACCGTACTCGGCGGGCGACAGAGATTGGAAAGGCCGTTGTTTTGCGACGGAGGTCGGAAGAACCATAGTAGGCAGGCGATAGTGATTAGAAAGATTGTTGTCTGACGACGGAGGTCAGAAGAATCATAGTTAGCGGGTGATAGTGATAAGAAGACCATTGTCTGGCAGCAGAGGTCAGAAGTACAGTTGTCTGGTGATGGAGGTCAAAAAGACCGCAGTTGGTAGGCGACTGTAGTCAGGTGATGAAGGTTGGAAAGACTATAGTCGGCAGGAAACAGAGGTTGGAAAGACCGTAGTCGGCGGGTGACGACGGTTGGAAAGACCTTTGTCGGGTGGAACTCCGACATTAGTTGGTGTCCGGACAAAAGTCCTATGTTAGTCGGTGGTCCAGTGTCAGTCTGTGGACAGGCGGAAGTCCGTCATCAGTCGGTGGATGGGAGGAAGTCCGGCGTCAATCGATGGCCGAGCAAAAGTTTGGCGATAGTGGATGGTCGGGCGGAAGTCCAGCGGTGGTCGAGGAGTCTGGGGGCAAGAGAACTTTAGTTTCACTTTTTTCCTTCTCTTTTTCACTTTAGTTTCACTTTTTCCTTTGTTGATCATCACCTTCTCTATTTCTCGTTCACAAACTCAATCGTTGCCTCCCTGCTTTTTCTCGCCTCACTCTCTCTATCTCTCACACATGAGATAACCTAAGCCACATTCAGAGCTTAAGGGCATGGTGTTTCCTTAATCGCGGAACAACGTCCGGGTTAGTTGAGCTGAAACAGTTCGACTATGCTTTATCGGGTTATTACACTTTTCACATTCCATGGATCCTCTTTCTGAGTCAACATATGAATGAAGATTTCTAGACCTCTGAAACAAAACTGTACCGTTGCAAAGAAATTTTAAAAAACCTAACAGAAACAGAAAAGTTACAAGCTTGAAGCTCCTCCTGCACTTAGTTTGCATCCATTTTGATCATACATTGAGATGAGACCATGAGCTCCCTATCATACATTTACATCTGGATGGAAACTTCTTTGTTTCTGTAAAAAAAAACAGCTTTCCGAATTCAAGTTCAGCTAACACACGACTATGATGGATTACTAGCTGCCGTTGACCCATACTTTCTCCTTCCCACCGCATTCGTGCTCTGTGCCAGTTTTGCCAAGTGAAGCATTCTTCTCCTCGCCGACAACAAATCCGTCCTCTGATACTCCGTTTTCTCACTCTCCAAATCGGCGGTCGCTTCCCCTTCAAAAGGTTCTTCCCGTACGTCTTCCTCTTTGAACTGCATTGCATGTTTCAGAATCTCCACCACCTCGCTCATCTTCGGTCGATTTCTCGCAAGTTTAGAGAGGCAGCTATCTGCTAGCTTTGCGACCGTCCTTGCTCCACTCATGGAGTACTTATTACTTAGTCTGGGATCCATTATAGTGCTAAACTTCTTGCTCTCAGGTGGAAATTGCTTCACCCAGTTAAGCAACTTCTGCTCATTTTTTGGGCGGTTTCGTTCCATCGATCGTCTTCCAGTGATAAGTTCATAGAGGACAACACCAAAGCTCCAAACATCGCTTTTGGCTGTGAGATGGCCAGTCTCTATATAATCAGGAGCTGCATATCCATGTGTACCCATCACCTATGGAGAATATCATATTTCTTCAGCTATAAAGAACTGAAACTTTATAAACTGGTAAGATGTTGACAGTATAACTTGACATACCGCAGTAGATACATGAGTGTCTTCTCCTGAAGGTCCTTCCCTTGCCAAACCAAAGTCTGACAATTTGGGTTTGAACTCCTCGTCTAATAGTATATTGGATGCCTTGAAATCACGATATATCACCTGCCACACCATGGAGAGCAGCAGAAGCAAATCTTAGTCATATGTACTGAAAGGAATAATAACATCAATTAACAACAGAATCACATAACGGATCTATAAAAATTCAAATTTGGAAATTTTTTATCTTATATTAAATAATTTTAGAACTTTGTTGTTATTAAAATGAACTTGATATTTTATACATAAAACCTATTTCAAGATACACAATAAAAAGTTATCATAAATGATGAACATATTTGAAAATACATTAAAAAATGTGGCTTTCTTACAGATCAAAGTTTTCTATTTCTTTTTTTTTTTTTTTTTCTATAACTTCTTTTTAAAGAGTGAAATATGGATGATAGCCAACCATATAATATATTTCTATCAACATTGTTGCGTCCTGGAATATTCGCGACGGTAGAGAAATATTTAGTTTAACGTCTTAGCATTGTACGAAGATCCAGCACACAAACAGATAAGTGAGAGGGTGTAGCATTCATAAGAGACACCAAAGGTTCTGCTGTGGTCCGGCGAGGTTCCTGTGATGATCCGGCGGTGGTCCTGCGAGGTTCCTGCGGTGGTCCGGCGATGGTCCGGCGAGGTTCCTGCGGTGGTCCGGCGAGGTTCCTGCGGTGGTCCGGCGGTGGTCCGGCAGCCGTCGAGGAGGAGCTTCTTCCTTCTCTTCTCTCCTTCTCTCTCTTGCTTGGGTCCCCTCTCATGAGAAATGAGGGCTCTATTTATAGATTTTCTGGAGTGGCATGGCCCGTAAATAGGCGTAAGATCAGGGGCGAATAGGGAGTGGTTGAATGGACGGTCGATATTGAATCCTACGATCGTGCACCGTTCATTGGACATTTGAAGGCCTTAGTGATGTCGGAATTCAATGATCTTGAGCTCGTTGGATTCGTCTCGTCGAGCCGTTCGATTCGAGTATAAGCTCATCAAAATCAGATACCGTTTGGTAACTCAAATTGCGGTTTGAACCTTCCAACAGCGCTTTGAACCCTTGATTCGGACTCATTTGGGCTCGGATTGGGTTGATCTTGGCGTCGTTGGGTTTGTATTTCCGAGACGCTCAGTTTGACTATAAGCTCGCTGAAATCGGAGTTCATATGCTCCCGAAATTAATTTTTGAAGTTTCCAACTAGCTTTTGCTTCGAGATTCGTGCTCGATCAAGATAATTTTGAGATGACGTATCAAACATATTTTTCTCTTGTTTGATGTAGGACCAAACATAAGAGTAAGACTCTCATGTGCTCTTAAGTAAGACCTTTAAGTAATTTCTAATTTATCATCAAAGTTTTTTGGTACAAAAAATTACACAGAATAATTATTCTAATGCCAATTCTTATATTCAACTCATTATTGGAAAATAAATTCCCTATAGAACATTCCAATGGAGATTGAATGATTGTAATTCTATCTTGTAAAGCGCAAACTGAGATATGCAGAATGACCTCATAGATCCATTTGCCCTCCTTGCTTTACTAGGATCAACACCTATACGAACTTAGGATCAATGAATTTTGGGATGCGTGTTGAGGGATAATATGAATATCTTAGTAGGTTTCAGTGCTCATATTTAACCCTAAACTTCAACGAGAGCAATTATCCAAAAGCAAATCTTTGGGCTGCTCTCTTTACAGTTAAGAAAAACTATTACAGCTACCTGCAAATGCATGACAGGTGAGTCCATCATCCCTTCTTGGAGTTGTTTGAAGAGAAGATTGTTAGAACTTAGGAGATGTTCTTGAGAGCTTCTTGAGCTCTTCTTGCAAGAGAGAGAGAAGGGAGGGGAGGAGAGAGAGAGAGACAGCAATTTGGAGGGAATACAACTAAATCTTTATTCAGATTTTTCTCCAAATATTACATCACATACAATATCTATTTATATAGATTTACATAGATGTGATAGCCTACAGGAACAACATAACCTAAAACTAAATCAATTCATAACAAATATATTTCTTGAGACAATGACTATAGGATTATAACATTGGCAAGTGGCATCAGTGAGTGTTTTGGCAAGCTTTATCTTAGTTTCATTATCTTTATGAGATATAATAATCTTGTTTGAGAATTTCTTTGCGGCTTCCACTTTCTTTGATTGTGAGAAGGGCTAGTGAGTGTTAATTCATTTTGTACACCATGTTTATTGTTTTTTTTTTTTTTTTTTGTTGAGAATAGAAAGGATTATCTCTCCACTCCCCTGCATGCAAGGTTAGTTGAAGCCAAACCATGTAAACCTAGGTGTCTCACTATCTCTATTTTGTGTGTTGTTTGATCTTTGTGTTTTACTTTGTGACACAAAAGGAAATCCTACTCATTCCTGGAGACATTTTTGCATTAAGTTTAGTGCTCTTGTTACAACACTAATCAAGGAAGGTGACTGTACATTAAAGATACAAAAAAAATACTTCTCCAGGTTCTCGAGTATGATATGTTGCAGGAAAATAATATGACATAACCAGCTCTCCTCAAGCTGATCAGTGAAAATACCTCAGGATTAAGCTGATAGATTTTGGTGAGAAAGGTTTACTTTGTTGAGTACATTGTTAGAGGAGAAACAATTAGTTAAATGGTTGATTCCAGTCACCAGAATTTTTAAGCATGCATGATTGAGAGAAAATATATCATTAGAACTATCAAAAAGTAATAAACTCTGGGTTTTCCCAACTATAAGTGCTATTTCTAGTCTTGAATAATTCTGAGACCATTGCTATAAATCTTTTTTTTTTAAATGTCATATAGTAAGTATACCGATATAACAAAGAATACATATCAAACAGATTTTGGCTGTTAGGCACATATTACAACTTCAAATCTGTCAGCTCAAATCAAACTCCAGAACAAGAATTACTATAACCTCTTAAAAAAAGCAAAAAAAAAGCATACATGCTGTAATGCTGTAATGAAGATTAATGATATATCTGATTATTGCCAACCATACTATAAACTAGCAACATTAAGTAGTGAAAGCATTCATCAGAACGGAATTTTAATATTAGAAACCATGGTATATCATTCAGGGGTATTATATTCTCAGGTTAAGAAGAGAGAGGTAACCTACCTGAACTTCCAATCCTTCATGCAGATATAACAGCCCTTCTGCCGCACTCAAAGCTATTTGCAGCCTAACCTTCCAGGGAACGGGAGGTAGGGATCTACTGAATAAATGATAATCTAAGCTCTTATTGGGCATAAATTCATAGACCAGCAGCCTTTGCGGCCCTCTTTCACCATCAACAGCACAGTATCCAATGAGTTTTACAAGATTTGGGTGATCAACAACTCCAAGAAACTGCACTTCTGCTAGCCATTGCTTATGTCCCTAAAGGAAAAAAACAAGAGGAAATTAGAAACTTAAAAGAAGTTAAAAAGGCTACTAGTAGTCACTCACTTTATAAATATCAAATCAAGCATTTTAAAATAGTTCAATTGTAAAGTGTATAGCACTAGAAATATCTGGTCACATCCGAAATATAATTTTGCTTCATGTTGCCTTTTTACTTTTATAGCATTTTCTACAACAATAGAAAATATACTTATAGGAGAGCTTAGCTGAGGGCTCATTACGAAACTTTTACCAATTATCAAATATACGAAATACAGGAGCATACAGCTCTGTTTCCCTGTTCCATTGCTTGGCTTGCGATTCTTTCTTACAGGTTCATCGGAGATCCAGCGACGGCATCAAATATGGTAGTTTCAGTAATGAAACTATGAAAGTGCAACTTGAATGAATCTGAAACAAATTGTTATAACTGTCGAATAAGCTGGAGCTAATATTGGTTTGCAGCATAAACCAAATTAAAATATTTACAATGTAGTTCTTTTTTTTTTTTTGTAATAAATTGTTTTAAAAGAAAAAGTTCAGCATTCTGAACTTGATTAGATAATCTACGATGAAAACTTAAAAATATATTTCCACTCAAATATCACAATCTTACCATGCATACCATATAGGGTCAACAGGAGACAAAAGTAATTTCTCTCATATCAGAAAAATGGGGCAAGCAAACTCTACTCTTCAAAGATATTGCCCCTTGAATGGTCCTGCTCCTTTTTTTTTTTCCTCTTCTAAATTGAAGAAATTATTCAAAAGCAATGTTTGGAAAGAAACCAAACACATAAGTAACTTTAAATAAAAAATATAACTTGCTAGAAATCTATTCAAGCAATCATCAACCTAGGAATATAACTTTTAATTTTTTTACTAAAATGTTATTTTAAGAAGCAATAAAAAAGCCATATCAAACGAAGCCTAAATTTCAAAGCATATTCTGAATCTTCATGCAACCAAATGAGACCTAATTTTCACCATCTCCATCAATTCAATTCAACAATTTTCTTCTTTTCAATTAAGTGCAAGACAAAAGAGAATTGAAGAGTGAATAATACCTGCAAACCATGCTGGTTGAGCATCTTAACAGCCACTGTAATCCTTTCTCCCATGCCATCTGCAGGCTTAATAAAACCTTTGTAAACACCGCCAAATCCTCCCTCTCCAATCTTTAACAACCTGTTGAAATCATTAGTTGCAGCCCTAAGCTCCTTGAGCTCAAAAACTCTCAAATTCTGTCCCCTCTCCTCATACAAAGAAGGAAGGCTCCGTGGCGATGCAGTAGAGCTCAAAGATTTACTTGTTGGAGCTGTGATAACTGAATCATCAGGTCTGGAAGCTTCTTTCTTTGAAGATGAAGAAGATGCCCTCGTTCCCTCAGGGGCATACTTCCATTTGTTTTTATTTATCCCCCTGAAGTAGAAAAAACAGCCCATTCTACTGAAAATAAAGGCGCGGTTTTGAAGGGATTACATGTAGATCGACATACCCGATTACCAGGATCTAACAACAAGCTAATGTTAAGGACTTAAAAGTTGGGAATTGCAACAAAGATGAGAAAAGTAGAGCTCGTAGAATGGAGGATCAAAGAAAATCAAAAGAGAAGCAGAGTGAAAGGGAAGAAAAAAAAGAAGAAGTTAATTAAGTAATAGAAACAAATAAACCGTAGAGACCATAGGCAAGTAAAAATATACAAATACAGGCATAGGATCCCTCCAGGTAAGCAGTCAAATCCACCTGTAAGGGAAAAAATGGAGATTTTTACAGATAATCAACAAAATATCAAAATACCAAATCGAAATAAGATAAAAATCCTAAAATTCTGGTGAAAATCGCCCGAACCGATGCAGAAAATCAGTTGGGTTTCTCGAGTAAAGAAGAGGAAAGGAAGAACAGAAGAAGCAACACAAATGAGGATGCAGAAGAAGAAGAAAGAAAGCAGAGCAGTTCTCTAAGCCAAAAACAGTCTAACTAAAGAATAGACCCAAAGCCCGCGAAGAAAAAAAAAAAGTAAGACAAGCTTTGAAAAGTTCATTCCACTCTCGCCTACTTCCTTCACCAGCCCAATTTGATCTATTCTCCGCACGCTTCCATAAAATCGCTCTCCCCCCGCTTCGCCGTCTAGATTAACAAATAATATAAAACAAAAGCAAAAATTTTGTCTTCCCCTTGCTGCCCTGTGTCATGTGAGATGTTACTTCCTTTTTGCTCCAGACTCGCGATATTCCAATGGGTGAGCAGGGAGGAAAGGACAGGAAGGCGCAATCCGAAGCCCAGCTTTTGCCATATATATACTAAAAGAAAGGTTTTTAGTTTTGACTACATTAAAAAAAAATGAAATTTGAAAGGGCAGCGCCTGGAAGCACAAAATGCACCAAAGAGATCATCCGATTCCCGTGAGAAGAAAATGACAGCTTTGTAGCTTGGTGAGGGACAATGACAAAAATAAATAAAAATATTGTAACGATGCAACATCATTTCGTGCAAATTTATGCGGATATCCCACAAATCAATACAATAATATATATTTAAACATCAAGTTTTATATAATTCGATTTTAATCATATCTAGAAATAGTCGTATACACTTAGAAAATAAAATTCATAATCATAATATATAATTAAGAGCACTCATAATATTTTTCTAATTTTTTAGGAAAAAAAATCCTAAGCATCTCACAAAAAAATTACTTCGCATAAAAATATTCTTTTTTGACGTATGCTTCATCTAAGGCTTCAATCCTCCCTTAAAATTATAGGTTTAGAGAAAATTAATCTCAATATTCAATGTTTATCTATTTTTTTAAAACAAAAAACAAATTTTATTCAACCATAAAAGAAGTACAACATCGAAAGACCAACAGCCAGCGTGACAAAATAGGTTTGGATGTTTATCTATATTAACAAATTATATCTTAAAATAGGTTTGAATAATTTTTTGATTGAAGTTCGGACAAACATTGAATGATGAGATTAATTTTCAATTTAAATAAGGGTATCAATAAATGATTTAATCCAACAATCTATCCGAACACAAGTCAAAAAGTATGGGTTCAAGTTGCCGCAATTACACAACTCTCCTTGGCCTATTGGTTGAGAGATTAGGCTTCCAACCAAGAGGTCCAAGGTTCGAGTCTATGTGTATGCGTTGTGTGTGTGAGTTTGCCTTAATTGGCCTAAATGTCCCAAAAAAAAAGTTGCCGCAATTATTATTTAGGTTGGTTTCAGTTTTGATATCTTGATAATTTTATTTTTTCAAGCCAAATTTAGATTAGCCCAATAACTTGAAATTAATTCAATTAGTATACGGATTTGAATTAAATTAGTTGGGCACTGATTAAAAAAGTTATTTTTAATTTTAGCGTATCAAATTTGAGCTAAATGAGTCTTGTTGGTTAAAAAAGAACTATCTATATAATAAATCAGTTGACAGGTCAGCTTCGAGTATAGTCAAATTCAATTCAAATTATTTTTACCCTCATGCTAAACATAAGGGAAAAATAATAAATCAGCCAACAGGTCTTCTTTGTGAGTGTGCGTCCACGGCCGACGTTTCAGTAATCCGCATTTGATACTCATCGGCCGTCCACAATCGCAGGCATCCAGTGTGTTTGTAGCATGCAAAAGCGTCTTTTTCGATTCTTTCTCGACATATCTGGTGAACCTCTTCTTCAATTCTCATCTATCTCATTTTAATGGCCATTTTCAGTGATTGTGAGTTTGTTAACTTTTTTTAATTTTCAAGTCAAAGAATTTCCTTGGAGGCTATCTGATGCGTGAGAAAAAATCATATCGAAAAATCTAAAATTTTTATGATTGGTGAAAAGGCACACTATCATAGTTTATGCAAGTTTTGAACAATTTTTTAGTGGAATTGTGGAAACTTTGAAATTTTCCAAAGAAGTTTGATGAATTATGGTAGATACTATTAGAAAACATTTTCATTAGTAGAAGGGTTAAGTATGGGTGGTGTTATTACTTTTGGTTTTGAGTGAAGGTAGAGGATTTAAGTATGGGTAGAAGATAGGGATGAGCATTCAGTAATTAGCCTCACACAACTGCGTTGATTAAAGCAATAGTTGGTCTCAATTTTTCAATATTTTAGATTTCGTTTGGGATTATTTTCTTACTATGTATTAAAATAATTTTTTAGTACAAAAATTAAAATTTTTGTACTAAAAAGTTGCTTTAAGAAGCAATAAAAAAACCTTCCCAAACGAAGCCTTAATCTATAAGTTAGAAGTTTAGTGTTCAATGAGTTTTAACAATTAAGATGACAAATATCAATTTTATAATGCCAGATTATTTCATGGTCTTTCGATTTGAATGAGAATCTTGGTGAAAACATTCAAAATGCACTTCGGACATTGAAGCGTTTTTGTGATGTTAGTATATTGTTGTGAGAACGATTGTATATAATTGTACATGCAATGCGTAAGATTAGTCCTTAATTTCTTATGATTTCTTGATTAATGGGTTACCTTCATTGGTCTTAAATTTCTTCTAGGAAATGATAAAAAGTACGTTATTTAAAGCAGAAAGAACGAGTTGAGTTTGATATTACCAATCTCCCAATTGATTCAGGTCTTCGACCTACAATTTGGAGTTACGATATAATTGATAGAGACAAAATTCGAAGAGCTTATCTTTTGAAATGACCTCATCTCCCAAATATAAACTGAAAATATTGCACGTAGATTTAACCCAAAATGATTTGACGAATATTCTGATTGTTAGAGTATAATGTTCAAAAAGACACCGCTTTTTGTCTTTACTATTACCTATTCAAATTCCAAGAAAATTTATTAACGGCAAAGCCGGTGGAGACTGATTTAATTTTGTCAGTTGTCACTGCTATAGTTGAGATAGCATTTCTGAAATGAAAATTTGTAAACATCGACTACATAGTAAAATGAGTGATGATTGGTTCAACGATTGTCTAGTATCATATATTGAGAAAAAAATATTTGACTTAGTATCAAATGAAGTTGTAATGTAACATTATCATAAAATATAAAAATATAAAATAGAATGCAAAGTTTATAATTTTGTTATTTTATAATTATAATGCAATATAAGAATTTGTTTTTAATTTTGTATTATATATATTATTATTTTTTTATATTAAAAGTGATGTTATGAAATTTTTTCATCTCTACCTCTTCCATGTGTCTGTAAGAATTTTGTATGCATGTGAATAGGGGTGTCAATTTTTGACACGACACGAAAACCCGACCCGGACCCGACCCGGACCCGCCGGGTTGGACCCGACCCGATTTCAAAACGGGTCTAGTTCGGGTTCCAGAAATCGACCCGTTTCAAAAAATGGGTCGGGTTCGGGTTCGGGTTCGGGTTGTCAATTTTTGTATTATAAAACTGATTTAAGAAGCAGTAAGAAAGTCATTTCAAATAAAGCCTTAATTGTTTCCAAAATTGACTTTCCAATAAAAAAATTTTTAGTTCAAAAAAATTTGTACGAGAAAATTACTTTCTAAACCAAATGTCGTGTACAAACATTTTTAGTTCATAAAATTTTTATATTAGAAGACTACTTAAAAAATAATAAAGAAAATTATCTCAAACAAAACTTAAATTCATAGGAGCTTAAACTATTAAAATTGAAACCCAAAGAACTATAAATTGGCTTGGCCCTAATTGGGGAATTTTTATTGCGTCCTCCCACCTGACGTAGAGATACGTCCTCCCATAGCTAAATTCGCGCTACAAAACGAGAAATACCGAGCAATACCAAACAATAACGAGGAATATCATCATGTGAAGACCAATACCGAGTTATACCGAGCTATACCGAGCAATAACGAGCAATACAAAAAAATACATAGTTTTTCCTAGAAAAAACTCGGTATTTTTTTGTATTTCTCGTTATAGTTTGGTATAACTCGGTATTGGTCTTCACATGATGATATTTCTCGTTATTATCAAATAATACCTAGCAATACCGAGCAAAAACCGAGTTTTTTGGCGGTGGGAGGACGTATCTCTACGTTAGGTGGGATGACGCAATAAAAATTCCTTATGGGACAAGATTAGTTGTAAAATTAATAAAAAAAATAAACATAAAAATTAAAAAAAAAATTAAAAAAATTAAAAAAAAATGAGATATATATTAAACAAATTAAGAATTGCTTCCTAATAAAGCGCCGTTACACACAGCTCACCTTGGCTTGTTGGTTGATAGT